AAGGGAATGGAGGACCTCAAGAAAACAACAGGATCCTCTAAGTCAACAGGATCATTGCACATATGATCTCACACAGATACTGAAGCAGCATGCACAGGGCCTGCCCAGTGTTCAAAAGATGGGGTCCTAGAGCTCAAAGTAGAAGCACACACATGACCCCATCAATAGCCTGGGAGCTGTCTCCAATTGATAACAACATACAAACGAAAATTTAATTTTCACCAAGGGAGTCTCACTGGGGAACAAACTAATAAGTACCCTCAGAACAGCACCATGACCTCTGGAGGTTACTTGCAACTAATTCTCTCCAGAGCTGGAGAGAAAAAGCAGAGGCAGTAAAATGTTTGGTCTAGTTGTTCGAGCTATGTGTGTGTTCTTGGGATGTTTATATGACCTTTTCTCAAGTTTTGTGACTGCTAGAATTTTTTCATAATAAAAAACTGGGGAGGGAGTAAAAATGTATTCTGACCATCAAGTTGTTTAAATGAGTCACCAACTTTATTCATTTTTACCTTACTAACCTAAGGAAGTGTTTGTGTTCTGTGTAGAAATGGTTAACGGAAAGCATGAAGGGCTGATGACGAAGGCAGAATGATACCATGGGAAAAGACAAGCATAGAATGTGAGGTACTCCCTCACAATGTTTATAGAACTCTACAATGCTATGAGGTACACATTTGTTTATTTATTTATTGGAGAAGAGCTTTCACACACAAAGACACACCTCTCGCTCCAGGCCATTTTGACAGCTGAATTTACAAAGATACGCATCATATAGTGCAGGAATGAAAATATGGAGGAAGCAATAGGCACAGTCCCACAGTTGATTTATCTGTGTCAGGTACTAGACAGATGTCCAAAAGTGTGGGAGGACCCATCAAACAAACTCACATGAAGCACAGCTGTCTTGGTTAGGATTTATACTGCTGTGATAAAATGCCATGACCATAAGCAATCTGGGGAGGAGGGACCTTATTTTGCTTACGCTTACACATCACCATCTATCATTGAAGTAAATCAGGGCAGGAGCCTGGAGACAGGAGCTTATGTAGAAACTACCCACTGGTTTGTTCATCATGGTTTGCTCTGTCTTCATTCTTATAACACTCAGGATCACCAACCCAGGAAGGACACCAATCAAAGAGGGGCTGGACCCTCCCACATTGTTCGTCAACCAAGAAAATGCAGCACAGGCTAATCTGTTTGGGGGGGTTGTCTCAATTGAGGCTTCCTCTTTCAAAATGACTCTAGCAAGTGCCATACTGACATAAAACAAGCCAGCACATGATCTGAATGCAGTATTTATTTAGGTATAATTAGATCTTTTGGACCCTCAGCACAGCTGTACATTATTGCTAAGAGCTGGTTTTTCTGAGTATGACTGAGTACATTTACTAGATGGGGCCATGAGTTGACATTTACTATCTCTAATGGCTCGTAGTTATCCCTTTATAGTAGATTCCCCTTGCTTTCTTTGGCTTTTGTCACGTTAAGAAGAATGTGTGAATAAGGAAAAAGGGAAATACCCAGAGAGTGGGGGAACTACTTGAATGGCTTGTGTAAGCTAGTAGACACCCCCATGAACAACTGCATTTTGACTTGTGTATGCCACAATGTATGTATACAAGATCCTGCATTTGGCCTCTTAAGAGGACCTTAGATTTACCAATAGACAGTACATAAAATGTGACTTGAGTGAACTCCTGTACAAACCCCTCTTCGAAGTTCTCCAGGGCAGTTTTATCATGTAGTCTAGCTGGAAACCACGAAGACGTTTGTCATGTTTTGTTATTGAGCATATTTATGGATGAATGACAGCAAATCTGCTGTCACCATCAAACAGGAGTTTGTGAAAGAGACAGAAACTGCTATTGGTTATGCATTTGCAGTTGGTAAAATTCCTTTCACACTTGCTATTTCATTACATATGGAATTCATGGGAAGTCGGTAGCATTGCTTACCTCACAGATGTGGAACCAAAGGTTCCAAAAAGATAAGCATGTCTGAAATCCTCAAGGAGCAGATGGCACTATAATCCATGCCTCCAAATATGAGTCTGCTAATTCCAACCGTGAAATCAGTACCAATGTCTACCCCAGTCTCATAGTATGTCTTTAACTTGAAGCCCTTCACACATGCCTGAAAAAACTGAAGGAAGGCCCTTATGGGTTAAGGCCCAGTTTATTGAAAGTTATTTGAGGAAGTTGTCTCTGTAGCAGCCAGAAAAGGAAGGGTTCTGCAATCATGGAGTCTGGGCTACAATTCAAATCTATTCATGAGTGGTGCAACCCTTGGCTAGTTGTATAACCATATGAGCTTCCTTATTAATCCTCTGGACTACAGAGCATTATATAAAAATAAGGCAGGGAAGTTAGGTAGTGACAACTGGCACTTCATAAGTGTTTTCTCATCAAAAGCCTTTGTGACATTTTTCTGATTCCTTGGTGGCCCCAAGCATGCAAGCACCCACCTGAGAACAATAATTTTTATGGCCATCACTAGCTAAATCAGGGTTTGTATGTGTTTTTTAAACTTAGATCCAAAAATTGAATGCTTTATGTAGTGTGAAAATGCAGTTCAGTGAATATTTAAATGATGGTTCCTGTCTTTAAGATGTACATGTTTTATTCTCCAAGTAGTTCCAAGCATAATACGTTGCTGAAGTAGCAAGATAAATTTATAGTAAGATCAATTGAATTCCTTTCTAAAGTCTTGACACCCTATACTTTGAGAATCAGCAATCTGAGATGAGACCATTGAAGTCCCAGCCCTCAACTTGTTCTCCCTACTCTGTTTGGTTCAACACCTCTTCTCCATCATACCTGTAACTGTTTTTACTAGAAGCACAAATATGGGTTTCTTTCATCACTGAAATGCAGTACATGTTATTTGAGCCTGTGCTTGACCCAGAAAGGACTACATATGCATGGAGAAGACAGTGGATTTTCTCTATCTTGATCTCTTTCCTAAGTAGAAACTGGCAAACAACATTGACTCTAAACTCAAGGTAAGTGCAAATACCCAGGATAACCTCTCAGAACAGACATATTTTCCATAAATGAAGGTAAGTTAATGGAAACTGCCTGTTCTATCTTCAAGGAAGTCTTCTACATAAACTAACAACTGATCCTCTAAGAAGCACTCTCCCTGTCACTCAGCACTAAGGCCAAGCCATTTGCTAACATGACTCCCTGTACCACATACCATGCTGCAGCCTTGTGTTTATAGCCCTTCCATGTCTCAGAGCTCCACTGTCTTCCTTAATGGTATAGATTGTAACTCAGCATCTTTAAAACACAACACATTATTTCAACTTATCTTCTTTTCTCTTATTTCTTCCCTTCTGAAGCCCACATAAGTATTTACAGTGATGATTTGGGAACAGAGTTCTCTCAGTGGAAATTACTGGCAGAACAGGACTAACAGCAAGGTGATACCACCTTGGGTCTTTTGACATCCTCAGTAGGATAACAAATTCTTGACTGGTTTAAAATGAAGTCTTGAAAGGCATTTCTTTTTATCAGACTAAACTTTTGTCTTTTGCAGAGAATGGGAAAGTATGTGCTATCACTTAGATTTTAAGATACAGACACTGAAGTCCTGATGTGGAGTCAACCCCTGTCTCCCCTATTACTAACTGTAGTTTGATTAGCCTCTTATTGACCACACTTTCTTCAGTAAGATGGGCATCAGTGATGTCCTGCCTGCTGGGCCCTGAGGATTTTCCTAGTATATGGATTTCTATAGCGTTAATAACAACAACTGATAGCATTGTCATCATTACAGTTGGTATTCTGTTGAGGTGTTCTGGATTAAGTACAGGTTTTATATGCTCTATATCTAATGTTCCATAAGGTTATGGGTACAGGATTATTAAAGTATGACAGAAGGAAATTATCAAAAATCAGGAAAATATAAAATCGTCCAACATTTTTAAAGGTGGCTGTGGGTAAAAGACCCATTAGTTCCAAGCACAGCCTATTCTAGTTGTAAAGAACTAGAGAACAGAAAGGAGACATATGTTCTTGACTAGCTAGCTAGATGACCCCTCCCCATGAACCTACTTGGTAATTGCTCTTTCAGTATAAGATATCAGTACTTAGATTGTCTCTCAAAAATTACTATAAGAAGCAGGAGCAAAGACATGGAGACTTATTTGTAGTACAATATTATTTCCATATTCTTATTAAACAGTTGCCAAGTAGAAATGTATTCCTGTTAGATCATTAAGTATGTTTATTTATGTACTGTCTAGTCTTGTTTGTTTTGCTTTTGGTGTGTCAGCTTGACACAAGGCAGTGTCATCTGGGAAAAAATGGCCTGCAGGCAAGTTTGAGAGGCATTTATTTTCTTAATTAATGACTGATGTGGGAGGGCCCAGGCTACTGTGGGCAGTGCCATCCCTGGGCAGGTAGTCATGGAGTGTATAAGAAAGCAGGTTAAGCAAGCTACGGGGGGAAAAGCCAGGAAGCAGCATTCTCCCATGGTCTGCACTTCAGTTTCTGCCTCAAGTTCCTGCTTTTAAATTCTATCCTTACTTCATGACAAACTGTAAGTTATAAGGTAAGTTTAAACTTTCTTCCCAAGGTTACTTTTAGTCATGGTCCTTATCACAGCAATAGAAAACAAACTAGGACAATACAGTAGAAAAATGACTAGACCAGGTGTCCAAAATCTTAGTTTATTTTTGTAAGGCTGGGTGAGTCACGGTACAGAGGCTTTATGCCCTTAAGTACAAAACTCTTCTTACTACCTATGGCCTACCTATAAACCAGATTATCTGAAAAAATCCTTTTTTAAAATTTTAAATGTTCTCAGAATCATTGGTTATGTAATTTACAACTCAGCAGTTTTGACAGTTTCTGCTAAGGCACGTAATTTGAAAATAATGTCTCAAATATAAAGTCCTTGTACTCAGTGATGCATGTATTGCAGCTGTTGTAAGGAAACAGACTTTTCTTCCAGCAGCTTTTCTCCTTAGGAGGACATTACTTCATTACTTCCTTCAATCCATCATCATGAATGCGGTGGCAGACACAGCCGTGTTTTTTGGAAAATTTCTATATTACTTCTTAGAATCTGTAGTTTTCAAGATAATTCCTAAAAGGAAAAAGAATGTTGCTGGAGAGATCGTACTTATAACGGGAGCCGGAAGTGGACTTGGAAGGCTACTGGCCATGCATTTCGCCAGCCATGGGGCCATTTTAGTTCTCTGGGACATTAATCAAGAAGGCAACATGGAAACATGTAGACTGGTCAAAGAGAAAGGTGATGTGAAAGTCTTTGCCTATAAGTGTGACTGCAGCAACAGGAAAGAGGTCTACAGGGTCGCCAATCAGGTGAGCTTGTTGCTGTTCTTTGCTTTGATTCTGAGAAAATTGCATCTAGCCTGCCTTTTGCTAATACTGGAGGGAGTGATTAGTTATGGGTTCTCCCAAAGAGTCTTGTGTATTTTCAGTTTAATTCTCTTTGTCTTAAGTATGACTTCATGACCTCCAAAAAGCAGCATAGCCTACAACAGTGGGAGTGGGGTTTGGTCCTGCTTCAGAACCCAGTGCTATTCGACTGGTTTGCTTAGTAACTCCCTCACTTCAGAGCCCTTCCTACCTTTAAGCTTTGCTTAGTGAATCTCTCAACATCCTTGGTTGGTAGACACTCTGGCAAGCCCCAGCTCCTCTGCTTTAGTTGTACAACTTTTACCAAGTTATTTACCTTTCTGCACCCTTGTTTCCACATCCATGAAATGAAAAGCTAGTATTGTTTCATGATTTTAATGACACTGAAATCCCATCCCATCTTATAGCAAATCTATTACCATATTGTGTTTGTTGAGCATAGTATATGGAGTATAATGGGGAAAGCACTCAGCATACAAGTTCTTCTCACACTTTACCTACTGGTATTGCCTAACTTCACATGGGAAGTCTACTTTACCCACAGTCCCCTTAGCAGACACAGCACTGAACAGCACAAAAGGAGCCACCAATGGAAATATCAGTGTGGCAGGAAGCAAGAGAAGGGAAACTGTAGGCAGGCATTGTTCCCACAGAAAAGAACAGGCAAGCTATTTAGTACCTGGATAATTTGAATAATTTCAAAGGGCTATATGGTGCAGGGACATCTTGGTATTCTAGTGGACGACTCTGGCATGATTGAGATAGACATGGTAGTAGCTTAGTCTGTGGTAATCCTATTAAGGGAAAAAGTTGGACTACAGGATTAATGACTTTCTCAAAAGGGTTAATATACCAGCTCTAGTCAGAGTCGCAAAGCTGATTGAAGATGCTTCAATAAACAAGCAAAAACAAAGCAACAAATAAAACTCAATATATAATCTTTATCTTAATAGTTATCATTTTAAGCAGTTTGCGCACCTAATAATTCAGTTAATCCACCCACTTCGACCTTCAGACGTGTATGTTGTTACCGCAATTCCTGTTAAACAAGATGTTAAAGCAAAGGAGCACTGAACATGCAACTCACCCAAGATCACCAGGCAGAACCTGGCAAGAAATAGAGTCGTAGCCAGGTAGCTGGAAGCCACGAGCTACATACTGGTTGACCACAAAATCTCCAAGAGAGTTCTTTGCAATCAAATTTGTGTTAGTGGAATTCATTTTTATTTATTAAAACTTAATTATTGAGTTATCACACAGTAATACTTTCCAATCCTCTCTCTTCATACTTCTTTGCTTTCTTCTTCCTCTTTCTTTGTTTGGGAACTCACAGGATTTGGGTTTTCGTAACTCACTGATATATACCAACAATGTGGGCATTATAGCTCCTGGATTCATTTTGGTACAGAACAAGGGAAGTCAAGGTTTGTTCTCATTTTGCAAAAGGGAAATAAACATGGCAGGAAAAACTGCCTGCAGAATGCATTTGGGGTAAACTTAGTGTAATCCTTTTTCTTTTCAGGGGCTCATATCTCAGAACCAGGCACCATCCAGCTTGGGGAGGGGGCTGGAAAGGTCTTTACTTCTGTCTATGATTGTATATAAACTTCACAATGAAGCAGGAACTATTCTTTGGATACCTTGCCAATGATGAAATGTACAGACCTTAGGTAGCCCTAGAGCCCCTCCTACTTTATCATAGGAGCATTGTCAGTGAACTGTAAACAATGAGAACATCTCACAACCTTCCCCTATGCTGAAAGACACCATAATCTCCTACCATCCCAATCCCCCTACAAAGTATTCTGTTCTGGTTAAAATTTTGTGTCCAGTAGGAAAACACCCTAAAAATTTGACAATATTTGCCATTGGAATATATCTGAAATGTTCCTTCTTTAACACTCTCTTACATGTAGCATTCTTCTAAGTTTGCAACTCTATCTTGCTTTTTGCTTAATTGTAGTTAGTTACTAAGTACTGAGAAACCCAAATGCTTTATCTGTAAGACTTTAATAAATGGCAGACATCAGCCTCAGCCTTGAAATGAGTTCACACTCAGCATGGCAGCATTCCAAAGGGCACAGTAAATTAGCTTTCCACAGGCAGAGAGAGAAAGAATTTTCAATCCCAGCATGCAAAGTCAACAAATACAGTCAAATATGGCACACATGCTCATAATCATAGAATTGGGAAGGTTGAGGCAGCAAGATTGTGAGTTCAGGGCAAGATGAGGCTATAATCTTGGTGACAGGGGAAGAAGAGTAAATTCATGTAAAAGCAGGTATTGTATGTGCCTTCAGATTGCATGTGAATCAATGTTCTTTCAGCAGTAAGTCCTTTGGAAGGTTCTTAATTTCCAATAGCCTATTTTCTCACCCATGAGCTAAGATAATGCCTTCATAAATGTCTTCTCAAGGTACAGTAAAGATTAAATCCCATAATCTAGACAATTCTCCTGCTACAGTGTCCCTCAGACTTCTTTTGGAGTAACCTGAGTGATCATTCATTCCCTAAGATGTTACAGATTTTACACAAAAGACTTCACCTTCTTCACCCCATTTTTGACTAGGCTTCCCTCCCTGGTCTACGATTGAGTCCTTGTTTACATTCATTGTCCCACTAAACGAGTAAGATGTCCTTAGTCTCTCACAGACTTTTCCTTAGGTCTACCTTCCTCCATCACCCAATTATCATCCTTCCCATCACCAAGTCAGCATCATTAACTCTCCTTTTAATGACCCACTTCACTTACCTATATCAACAGCAATGTTTCCAAATCTTTCCAAAGCCTCCAACTGGTAGGCTTAGCATATAGCATGGACCAAGAATCAGAAGAGTCAGGGTAGGCAACGCTTCTTGTGTGGAGGAAGGAAAGAGTAGTTGTGTCTGCCAAAAGACTTGATTCAGGAATTTTTTATTAAGGATTTTTTAAAAACATGAAGTTTTCAAGTCATTACTTAACCTGTTTCCTACTCTGCTCCAATATCAGCTTTGTCACTGTGACTTACAAAGGTATAATCTGAGGCAATGTGGTAGGAGAGAGAATGCTTGCTTAGTTTTTCCTGTATCATGCTGTGTTCCAAACAGGACTCATGTGTTTACTGGGTTATATAAGCAGGTGAAGTGGCCTATGTGGAAGAGAAGAGATGAGATCTTGTAATAGCCTAGTGGAAGATAGTATTTAGATTAGAGGCAGTCTTCAGGGCAGAGTGCACAGGATCACTGAAATCTCTGGGCACTAGATCAAACACATCATTGTATGAGATGTCTTCATTCCAAGTACTGACTTGGCCTAGTCAAATAGGAGTCAAGGAGATGATGTTGTCAGAATTAATCTCAGGCATCCACAAACTGACAGTAAGCCTTGGCTACAAGAAGGAATATGCTCAGAGACAGACAGGCAGAAAGTATCCTCACACTTCACTGTCACTGAAGAGCAGCAGGAAAGAAAACCAGAACAAAGAGATGCAAGTGGTCTGTGGGCCTATATCTGTTTTCCCAACTACCCAAGAAACTACAGTGAGCTGATCACAGAACAGGTCCAGTCTGGACTACAGTGGAAGAGCAACACCAGCCTAAGCAACGTAAGGAAGCCTCGCAGTAAAAAGAGGGAAAGAGGACTAGCAAAACAGATTTGGAGAAGATTGCTTGGCTATCATGCTCAAGACACAGGGTTTAATCCTCAGTATCATAAAAAGGAAGAAAAGATAGAGCGAGGGAGAGAGTGAAAGAGAGACAAAAGAGAGGATTGCTGCCCTATATAGCAGGCCATCTTCTGGAGAAAATAATATTAGTATAATTGATGATAGAATTACTTTTAAATTGCTGAATTTCTTTATGAGAAACAATAGCAATAAATAGTTTTGATGAAATAGTAGTCAAGCATGATAGAATGATGGAGGTGTGTTATGAAGGACATATTTCTAAGTGATTTCATAGTAGTGGATTCATCATAGTCTCCTTAACCAAGTAAATATGGTTACAGTGTCACCAGATAATTTAGTCTTGGGACTACCTTTATCTGTCATTGATTGACACGTTGTGCATTCCACAACAGCACTTGAGTAAGATAAGGAGAAATGTGATATAGGAAAGTAAACGTCAAAAATTCAGTACTTCAATCAATGTCATGTCTCTCTCATTTCTGGCCAGGTTAAAGAAGAAGTTGGTGATGTCACCATTCTCATTAATAATGCAGGTGTTGTAACAGGGAAGCTCTTCCTTGATATTCCAGATCACATGGTAGAAAGATCATTTCTTGTCAATGCCCTCTCTCATTTCTGGGTAAGTCTCTCTCTCATTTCTACTAGTAAGTATAAAAATCCCAAGCAACTGTTCAGTCATTTGTCTATAAACACAGTATTTTATTGTTTCCTATTGACAGCTGGTGGAAGTCTCGCCCTCACCAGGCTCTACCAAACCTGGATTAGTTTTTACTGGTCTTGCCTTACTTCAAATTCTCAGGGACATCTCTAACTGCCTTTAGCAACAAAAAATGTTCTCTGTCTGCATCCTCATATGGTAGCCACTTGAAATATGACTGGTGGGAATGAAGAGCTAAACTCTTAAATTTATGCCCTTTAATAATAATATCTAATTATAACAATTAATATACATTTAATTAGCCACAAGTGCCTAGAGGCTAATCCTTGGACAGTGCCACTCTATATATTGGGTAAGAGACTGAAGGAAGCAGGATTGCTGAAGTTCTTTCCACTGGGAGGAGTTACACTTGTGATAGAAAAATAATACCAGTAACTAGTGGTGCAAGCAAGATGCAGGATGTTCAAGTAACTGAAGCCAGGGTCATGGATAAGAAGGAGGCTCACAAGGGGTAGCAGAACCTCAATCCTGCTTGTCTCTGAGAGACCTTGGAATGGATTTGGTTTTTTGTCTCTGAGAGATCTTGAAATGGATTTGTTTCAAGTCTCCCAATTCCTACTTCTTGTCACTGAAAATTTTTACAATCTTTATAATCTTCATAAAATTGGTCTTATTCTTTGGTCACCAGGAAGTGGTGTGAAATGACATTGGAGCCCACAAATTTATTTTTGTTAGTACTAATAAAACAAATAACACCGTGCTTACATACTTTGGGTTTCCCATAAATATTTCTACAAGCTGTTGGTTTCCTTACCTGCAACATTGACATCCTAGGCTTTTCCCTTGGGTGATGGTAAATACCATGTTGGTTGATGGAACTAGGATCCACACACTCCTTATCACATCTCAGACCTAGAAATCACCCTTGACTCCCTCCTTTCCTTTGACACTGTCTTGCCAGTCATGCAACTCATGCTCAAGTGCATGTCTCTCCACCCTTGGTGCCAGCTGCTCAAGCCACCTCCTCCCTCTACTGACAGCTTATCATGGCTTTCTATCATCAACACTGGTACCTTCTATGTATCTTCATATGGAAGTAAGTTGCTGTTTCTACCGTATTAATCAAACAATCTGATTCAACATATGATTCAAACAACCTTCATTCAGAGTCTCAAACATATTGAGAATGGAGTATACTTACATAGAGTAGCTTGCAAACCCTAACATGACATGGTAATAGCCTCTTAATCTGCCTCCCAACTCTCACCTTCTCCACTTTCTGCTCATGATCAATTTATTCCTGAGATCCTGACTAAACCTGAGTATGTCAAACTGTGCTCAGGGGGGCTTGAAATGAGCTCTTCTCTCTGACATGATTCTTCTTTCTCCTGACTTGCATTCTTCTGGCCTCCTGTAGTCACCGATCCTGTACTTTTATATTGTAAGTACAGTTGTGGCCCTAACTTGTTCACACAGTTAGTAGTGAAACAAGTCAGTGAGCACAATAAGCCGCTGTGATGGGGTTCAGTAAATTTGCATGTGATTCTGAGCAACCAATAAAACCGGGCCATCCACTTCCATCCAAAAACCACTTCTACAACTTGAGAGACTCGGATTTTGTATATTTCTCCCTTGCACTGGATTCTCCTGCTTCAAGCTTGATGGTCAAGCTGTCCACAGATACCTCCAGACACTGTGCCTCTGGCACTTCTAGACAGATTACTTTTTCTCAAATTGCTAAGCTTCCTGGTCTGTCAAAACTGCCTTCCCTTGTCACAAATATTTTTCACTGGATCCGGATAGTACCACAAAAAGGACTCACAAAGAATTTCACTCTATCTTGAAAGTACTTACAGCTTCATAGAGGGTTATAAATAAATCATGAAGCAACATTTAACTTACAGGACAAACTCATTCAAAAATGGTCTTATATAAAAATAGTATATATAATATTTTATTTAAATAACAAGCTTGCTTCACATGCCAATCCCACCTCCCTCTCCCTTCCCTCCTTCCCAATCCCCAACCAAACCCCCCAACCCCCACCCAACCCCCACTCTGCTTCCCAAGGAGGGTGAGGCCCTCCATGGGAGATATCCAGAGTCTGTCATTTCATCCAGGGCAGGACTTTGGCCCTCCCCCATGTGTTCAGGATAAGAAAGCATCCCTCCATTTGGAATGGGCTCCCAAATTCCATTCCTATGCCAGGGATAAATGCTGATCTATTAACTGAGGTCCCATAGATTGCCAAGGCCTCCTCACTGACACCCAAATTTAGGAGGTCTGGATAAGTTCCATGCTGTCCTCTTAGCCATCATTCTGGGGTCCATGAGCTCCTTCTTGTTCAGGTCAGCTGCCTCTGTGAGTTTCACCAGCCTGGTCTTGACCCCTTTACACATCACTCCTCCCTCTCTACAACTGGATTCCAGTTCAGTTCAGTGTTTAGCTGTGGGTGTCTGCTTCTACTTCCATCAGCTGCTGGATGGAGGCTCTAGGATGGCATATAAGGTAGTCATCAATCTCATTATGGGGGGGCATTTAAGGTAGCCTCTCTACTATTGTTTAGATTGTTAGTTACTGGATGAAGGATCTAGAATGGCGTATAAGGTAGTCCTCAATCTCATTATTGGGGAAAGACTTTTCAGGTAGCCTCTCCACTATTGCTTAGTTTGCCAGTTGGTGTCGTCCTTGTAGATCTCTGGAAATTCCACTAGTGCCAGATCTCTTTTCACACCTATAATGACTCCCTCTATTATGGTATCTCTCATCCTGTTCTCCTCTGTTCTTCCCCCGACTCAACCTTCCTGCTCCCCCATATCCTCCTCTACCCATTTCTCCCCCTCTCTTTTTCCCAGCTCCCTCTCTCCTTTCCCCATGCTCCCAATCTGCTCAGGGGATCCTATCCCATTCCCCTTCTCTGGGGTATCATGCATATCTCTCTTAGGGTCCTCCCTATTTCCCAGACTCTGGCGGTGGGATTGTAGGCTGGCACTCCCTATTTCTTGTCTAAAATCCACATATGAGTGAGCACATACCGTGTTTGTCTATTTGTGACTGGGTTACCTCACTTAGGATAGTTTCGTCTAGTGTCATCCATTTGGCTGCAAATTTCAGGATTCCATTTTTTTCCACTGAGTAGTATTCCATTGTGTAAATGTACCACATTTTCTCTGTCAACTCTTCTGATGAGAGGCATCTAGGTTGCTTCCAGGTTCTTCTGGCTATTACAAATAATGCTGCTACATAGTGGAACAGATATCCTTGCTGTATGAATGTGTATGTTTTGGGTATATACCTAAGAGTGGAATTGCTAGGTCTTGTGGTGGGCTGATTCCCATTTTCCTAAGGAATCTCCACACTGACTTCCAAAGTGGCTGTACAAGTTGGCACTCTCACCAGCAATGAAGGAGTGTTCCCCTTTCTCCACATCCTCTCCAGCATAAACTGTCATTGATGTTTTTTGTTTTAGACATTTTGACAGGAGTAAGATGGCATCTCAGAGTTGTTTTGATTTACATTTCCTTAATGACTAAGGATGTTGAGCACTTTCTTAAGTGTCTCTCAGCCATTTTAAAATGATAAATCAAGAATAAAGGGAAAGCGATTCCTCACATACCTACCAGTATACTCATCAGAGAAAAAAATAATTATATTAAATATCCATCACTGATTCTATATTCTAGTCCTTTACTTCCTGTCAATGCGTACAGATTCAATTAAGCACTAACTGAAAATATTTGAAATAGGATGTTGCATCTGGAGTGAGCATGTATAAACACTTTCTTTTTTATATAAAATTTTATTTAAATTAGAAACAATCTTATTTTACATGTCAGTCCCAGTTCCCTCTCCCTCCCATCCTCTCATGCCCCCAACTAGTCCCCATCCCATGCCTCCATTCACTCCCCAGGGAGGGTGAGGCCTTCTATGAACATCAAAGTCTGTTACATCATTTGGGGCAGGGTCTAGGCCCTCTCCCATGTGTCTAGGCTGAGAGGGTATCCCTCCATGGGGAATGGGTTCCTAAAGTCCATTAGTGCACTAGGGATAAATCCACTGCCAGAGGCCCCATAGACTGCCCAGGCCTCCTAACTGACACCCAGTTCAGGGGGCCTGATTAGGTCCTATGCTGATTTCCCAGCTGTCAGACTGGGGTCCTTGAGCTCCCACTTGGTAAGGTCAGCTGTTCCTGAGGGTTTCCCAGCATTGTCTTGACCCCTTTGCTCATCACTTTCTTGCTATTATTACCTAAACAAGACAGTATAAAAATAATTTATGAGTAGTATTTACATTGAATTATGTGTAATAAGTAACAAACACTTAAATTTTTCAGAAGGCTAATCATAGATTATACATAAACACTATAGCATGCTATATAAGGGACCTGTATAACCTTGAATTTTGGAATCTGGGAACCAACATTCCTCAATACCTGGTCAGACTACTCCTCTATGGCCACTAGTTTGAGTTCAATTCTAAGCAGTATAATTACAAAATACCATTTTTTATCTTTAAGTGTAACTTCAACAATTAATCTTATCATTCCATTAGAACATAAGGCATATACAACATTTTAACTCACCATCTCAATTAGTAGTTCCTTTAAAAAGTGAAAACTGTGCTGGAGACTCAATACTTATTTACAATTGTTCTGTGCTAGCCACCAGAGAAGACTGCTCAGACATGGGTTTAAGCTAATAGAAAGTTTTTATCAACTGGCTGCAACCACACTGGATGTTCAGAACCCTACTGTATCACCAAAGCTTTCTCAGGGTGAACTTTTATGGACAAAAAACAAGTTCTGGGTTGACATATTTAGTTAACAAGAACAGTTAGCCAGAAGTCAAACTATAGAAGCCCAAAAGCAAGATTAGTACATTTAGAGACTTTCCCAGAACTGTGGACTTTGATGGATTAGGTCTTTGCATTTTGGTAGGTGGTACCGTCTATGCATTGAGTTT